GGGGGGGGGGGAGGCAGAATAATTGTGCCTATACAATTGATACAGAGGATTTGTACTTACAGGTGACTTTAATAAGCAGAGGATTTTCTTTTATATTCCGTAAAAAATACACTAAATTTATATAAAATAATATCATGGTTGGCCAAAAAAAATGTACGCACAGTGCATCCGTGCGTATGCCTAGTTACGCCCATGAATAAACAGTGCAGGCAACATACGATACTGATGCAGAGCATAACCAAGACTATCTTAACTGTACCTTACATACTGTTTGCCTAAAATAAATATTTTTACATTTTTTTTGTAGAATTGCTAAGACTGCAAACTTCAATCTTCTTCATTCATTTGCATGATTTATGAAGATGAAATTCGACCCCACATTCATAAATGTCTCTGTAATTCCCACAGAATTACTTTCCTGGCAAAATTAAAAATATTTAACCAATGGTGAGTGCATTAACCATCAATATTTGGTTAAATATTTTCTTTAGCTCATCAGGTTATTTTATAATTATTCAAAATAAAAATGTTTCCGAAATTTGATCGCCAAGTGTATCTATAAATGACTAACTGTAAATCTATTATTAATTCTTAAGTCATAAAATTAGACACCAAATAAATTGAGATTTTTAAAAATTACTTTTCGATGGAATAGTGAATTCTGGCTTGCGAGTCACACCAAATTAACTAAGACTTTAAAAAAATACTTTATAAGGTAAAAATTAGTTCTGCTTGAGAGTCTCGTTTTATCTGCGTTTGCACATGTCACGTGACCTCTCAAAATGACGGGGGAAGATGCACCCTTTCATTTTCGAGATAATAAGGGGGTGGGCGGACTTGGCCTTATGAAATAATCACATGTATAGAGTTTGGCTGCTGTTAGAAGAAACCATCATTGCGGGACTGAAAGCACTACAGTACACAACTGGGGGGATTCTTTGAGAAAAAAAGGGCAAGATGTGGCAGAACTGGCATTCATGCGTGACGTAGGCTACAGTTATCCACCACGGCTGAGTCTTTTTGTCTTTGACATCCGCCGTGGAGCGGCGCGAGTGAATGAAAGGATCTACGAGAAGATGTCACCGTAGCGTCTGCCGATAAATATGCACGTGATAACACGTGGTTTAACGACTGCAGCGAGCAGTATTACGACTGCATTTCATTAAAATAATCAAAGACAGGGGGTAATTACCGCACGTGGTACATTCGTGGTCAGACACCTACTGAAGTCTTTCTGTGAAACACGCGAAACCCAGCGGTGGACATTAGAAATAAGCAGAGGAGAGGTGCGCGCCAAGCCAACAGCGTTGGACACCTAAATAAATATCAATATGGCTGTGATGTCCGAGTGCAGCATCCACATCTATGAAGGAACTTGGCAGAGATAAACTGCAATTATTTGCGTAAGCTGGTGCATTTGACGAATAAAGGAATTTACCGACGGCGAACCAACCTACACTGGTTAGTACTTGAAATGGCGACCATTTCAAACAATTTTGGACTTTTATTATTCACTGTTTATGTTTGCACGGTGGTGTTTATATTGTTGAATTTGAACATGCAGTTGAAGGGCAGTAACCCTTTCGCAAAATATTTTGTAAATGGCATGACTGCAGCTACGTCATCTGAAGAGAGAGAGAAATTAATATTGTTTGAGGAGACAGACCAGAAAAACGGCACCCAGGGAAAATATGTCACTTACGGAGCGTCAATAACCAGACTACAGAAATACGGATTTTATTTGCCGTTGACTTCTCTTCTGTGGGCAAAGCAAGGGTTCCAGTCGGTGATTGTAATGACAGGGGATCCAAAATTGTGGCGAAAATATCCCCTTCTTAACGTTATACTGGAGCGACTGGAACAAACCCGCGCCCGAGTCTTATTTGTACCAACTGCGGACGAGGCAACCACCGTGGCTTTAAGCCAAGTGTTGCGTCTCTACGTTTCCACACTCGACCACACGTTAAAAGATGAAGATTTTCTCATCACAAGTGATGCCGACTTGTGGGTTCACAAAACTCACCTTCTTCAACCCCAGCCAAGAGTAGTTATTACGAATAGTTACTGCTGCGGATATTTCAATCAACTTGGGAAGAGTTACCGTATGTACCCGATGGGTAACATTGGCGCCCCTGTAGGATTATGGCGAAAGCTTTTTCCAGATTTGCAGAAGACAATAGACAAAGAAAATATAAACCATAAGGCTCAAGCCGAGGAAACGAAGCAAGTGGTCTCCCAAGACAAAAGGATACACATTCCCCCCATTGCCACTTACTCAAACCAAACAGGAGTAGCGATTTCTCAAACACTGCATACCGTTGCCTCAAAAGTCAAAATTAAATTCAACGACTGGTACCTCGACCAAAAGCTGGCCAGCATTAGAATCGGTGACTGGGTAAAAACATTTGGAAGTGAGGTTCGGAAAGAAAAGCTCTTGGAAATTCCCAGAACACCACATGGTAGTCGAGGCGATCGAGTTGATAAAGGAATTTTGGCGTCTAATACGAACGAAAATGTAACATTCACACCTCTGTATGACGCTCATCTTCCAGATCGCGGATTTTACGCGCACATTTGGATGAACAACCGTTCTCTACTTAAAGCGCTGTTAAATCCCGTTCAATTAAAATGGGCTGACGATTACAGACAGCAATTTCTCATTGCTTTAAACAAGTCCGGAATGCAAGATTTCTGACATGTTCACTTACTTCTGGTCGTGCTTTCGAAAGAGTGATAAAGCGTTGGATTTAATATCAATAAAATGAAGATATTGAGCTGAATGAGTATTTTTCACATCCAAGAATAACACGTTACTGTACCATACATGTAGGTTCGCGTGTTATATGACATTTGAAATAAAAATTACTGTTCAAAACGCTTCAAATTTGCGGTGTGATAATTTGTCGAAACATAATAAAAAGTTATACACGCGAAACATCTAACCTCTTCCATGGCGACAGATTGATTTTTTCACAAATGTTCACAGATATGTCTCGAGATAAATAGACAGTCATTTGGTTCTCTGCAAATGTGGAGAATGTGCCTATTATATCTGCCACCCTGGTAGAGGGCTGGAAGTATGATGCATCTGTAGTGCATCTAATATCATGTCTTTACTTCGCACTGAAATTATCTCCCTCAGGCGGCGCGACACGCTGCGCGGTTGGATGCTTTGTTGCAAGAATCTGCATAGAGATTTCATTTTTTTTAATCTTAATCACATCATTCACCAGCGTCTTCGTTATTAGCAAAACGTTCGCAGTGTCACGATCTAAAAATCTACAGGCGTAATTTTCATGTCTCTCCCGCAATGGAGGATGACGATTACAGATTATAATGAAAATATTATCAAATAAAACTGACAAAAATTCATTTACTGACATATTAGATTCTAATGCACATGATGTTCTGTTTAGGGGGAAGGAGGACGATGAAGGGTGTTAAAACTGTGTTTATGATGATCATCAGAAGCGTATCGCACTTTGCATAAAATTACCAATCTGATTATCGGTCAGATAACAGGTAGAGCGGTCATACATGTATGAATAATTTACTATAGAGTGTTGTCTGTAAACTTGCTTCCCGTCCATGTTTTAGTGCATATCTCCGTTTTACTCCTATCAAGATAGACGAGATATGTTAATTGGCTTCAAGTATACCTTCCGTATTCAGTTAAAAAGGATATAGAACAAACATCCACGGCTGTCGCAATTTTATATCTTCATATAATTTCTAAATGGTCTATACATTTATGTAAGAACTCAAATGATAAGGTTTGTTGATTTTTTTTTCATTTTTTGCACCGTGTTTTAATATATGTTGCAGTGAATCAGTCATGCTAAATATAACTGATGTAAGGATGTCTTGCTGTAATAACTGTTTAAACTCTAACTCAGGGGGCTTTGCGTTAACATCAAATGAATTGCAGATAAAATGACATTTGTTTGTAAAAAATGATAAAATAGCAGTAATTGTTTGCCAAAAATGTCATGTAATGACGCAATTAACAAAATTAGCATCTATGGCATCTAATAATATTAATTAAGGCTATCTTTTAGGTCTGTTTATGCCGGTAAGTGAACTTCCTGAATCTTGTAATATTTTGTTTTTATTTCCTTTTCCGTCTCCTTTTTTATTCAGTAAAATATTCAAGACATGTATAAATGTCCCAAACAGATAATTCAAAAGCATTGTATTTTTTGTTGTTGGTGGAGAATTGTCCATGAGGTAATTTCCTTTGGGAGGGATAGTCCTTCACTTAGAATCGAGTACGACGAACCGGTGGATGTCACATACATGTACATGTAAGGTACATCCTTGCCGATGTGACCAGTATGTTTCATTTTCTCTCACATGAAAGGACGTTATCTGGTATGACGCAAAATAGTTAGGGTTACAAATACCTTCGTGATATACAAAAAAAGAGGACTATCAAACTTAGTCTGAAATGTATAGTAAGGTTTACATTACCTTTAATTGTTTTAGAGAAGCCGGGTGATGCATCCAACACAATTAATGCATAGTTGATATTTCTGTATGTGCAGGGCTTCTCCCATAAGTTTTGCACATTTCTGTTTTATTCTACCCAATGTCTTCTTAGGAGTAAGACAAACTTCACGATCTTGTTCTTTTTGTACTTTCAACAGTGACTTAAAATTTATTATTTAAAAGGAATTTCTGAATTCAGTGCGCACGGCAAGGTGAAATCAAGGGTGCCTCCTTCTTACAGTTTTGAGTGATCTTTCCCTTATAAAAGACAGCACAACAAGTAGTTGTATACCTCTGTACTCTGTTTACAAGTTAAAAGTCAGCTTTTTAATTAATTATTTTTTATAGGTCTTTATAGGTCATAAAAGCATACTTCAGTCGTATAATGTCAGTTGTAAAATTAAAAAGAGAAATATAATTATAACTTTGTATTCTTGTTTAATTTTTATATATAACGTTTGATCCTGCTTAAGAAAAAGGGAATAAGGATATCGGTTATCAAAGCGTTGATGTACATTGTATACTGGTATTATTTGTACAGGTGTAAGTCGGTTGTCTTTTAAATGCTCTGTTTTACAATTCCGTCTTTTGTGTCTTTGCTCTTTCAATCTCCCCTGGAATTGTATGCGTCCACAGCTTCATCCTCTCTGGCAGTAGATCGTATCCCATCTCAGTTTGTTTGCCAATGTTGATGTAGCCCTTCTTTTCCTTGGTGTACTCCTCCCATGTTGGAACGCCCTCTAGTGGGCGTCCTTGATTTGGATTTCTGAAGAATAATTTAAAAACAATTACGTTTTTTTAAATAACCATTCGTATTTCATTCACTGATTTTTGAATGTATAGTTCAGGCGTTTTACCCTTTTTGTTTCATTGTTACTTGCATTCATAAAGAACGCAACAACAAGGGGTCGATGCACATGAGAAGGAACGTAATAAATAATAGAATATTATCAAAATAACCCATGAGAAATTCACTCAAATTTGAAATAGTAATAATAAAAATACATTTATTAAAACTGCGCTACACGTGCATCACAGCGCTGTTTACTTTACATATGTTAACAAAACTACAAGGATAAACTTAAAAACTAACATAAATCTATTTCAAACTAAAAGATAAAAGTTAACTAAAATAATCTTTAAATATAAAGTTTAAAAAAATCATTTTTAAAACATGATAAGAATCATTGAAAGACACATTTGATATATTAATAAAAGTGGAGCACAATGTTGGTGCAGCAACCTCATTGTTATAGTAGATAAGATGCCACATGTTTACCCGGTTTTAGCAAAGTTGGTCCAATACGTCATCACGGCTTCCGCCGTGGCCTGGTCCTCCTCGCTCCACTCGACTTCCACGCCTTCTTTGGCGATATGTTTTCCGAACACCAGGATTATGTCATCCGTGTGTGCCGCACACTTTGTCCAGGGCGGCAGGCTGAAGCCCATGGTAAAGTCCATAAAATTCTTCCCGCTCAAAATGTGGCTGATCAGATAGGCGTAGGTGGCTGATTTCTGGGTGTTACTCTGTGATCTCAGGTGGGCCAAGCTTGATTCGACAACGTGTTGGTGGAACATGACATCGCTCAAGAGATCTCGCAGAGCTAGGGTGTTTTCTATTGGGTCCGCCTTGTGAGTGTAAAAGTCATGAATGTGCCTTTTAGCCGATTCTTGGATTTCTGGGTAAAACGTTCTCGCTATCGGATTGACAGTTTTTGTATTTATGATGTTTTCTGGTATCCCGGAAGTAAAATTGTACCCATCTGCCTCTTGCAACATGGCCGACATGTAAAGCATAAGATTCCCTTCGTCTGCTACCGAACCGATCATCCAATCAATTTTACCGAACGCGTCGTCCATTTCTGGGTAGTTTTTCTTCTTGGAAGCTGAGAAATATTCCATAATTCCATATGGTACAAAATCACCATCTTCTACTGGACCGACAGCCATTTCGAAGGAGGAATCGTCCTTCGTGTAGTCCGGTTGTATTAGCTCTAAAGTTTTATTCAGAAGGGCCTCGGCCGAAACCAAACGCAGGCAGTTAACCAATTTGAGGGTGTCAGTAAGATCTTGGTTGTCCGTAGTGTCACAATTAAGTTTACGGGCTAAATTTTTGGCAAAACGAAGTGGGCTCCTTGAGATCGAAAACCCGTTGCTAAAAGTGGGCGTGCTCTGGGCGATGGCTCGTTTCACCAACCCAATATTATACCTCGTCACTGCTTGGTGTTGCACACTCGATCCTCCGGCCGATTCACCGAAGATGGTGATTCTGTCTGGATCGCCACCGAAGGCTGATATGTGCTCTTTGACCCATTTCAGAGCTTCGTGCTGATCCCAGAGTCCGAAATTGCCTCGCGCGTGTTCGTCGGTTGTCGACAGAAATCCAAAAATACCCAACCTGTAGTTTATGGTGACGCACACGATATCACCATGCAAAGCCAATTCTTGGCAGGGGGTCGCCATCCCCTGGCCGTTGGAGTAGGCGCCACCGTGTATCCAGACCATTACTGCCTTGGGTGCCGTATTTTCAGATACAGGGACGTACACATTGAGATTGAGGCAATCTTCAGAGATATCCGTGTGGGATAACGAGATTATCATCCCGGGCAGGACTATCTGTGTACACGATGGTCCGTATTCGGTGGCATCTATGGTGCGAGTCCACGGCTTCTTGGGTGCCGGTTTGCGAAAGCGTAGGTGTCCAAGCGGAGGCTCTGCATATGGAATACCGAGGTACACGTCTATCTCCTTCCCGTTTAACGTCTCTGTCTTCCCACGGATTTTACCAAGCTTCGTTTCAAGGATTTTCGCCTGATTCGTGCCGACCATGAACAATACCGTAATGGCTAAAATAAAGGCAGCCGCCATTCTGATCTACATGTATATCGAACGATTTACTGAACTGTTACTCACTGTGTCAGTTGTGAAACCGGCATTATAATCGTGCTGCCCTTCAATAGTGTTATTGGCTCCTCTAATCCCGGCCCAGCTGCCACTGAATACCAAAGAGCACGCAGTGACCATAATATAATATAATATCAAGGTCAATGTCATCTCCAGAGTCCTTTAAGCTTCCGCTGACGCAAAAATAACGCTGACTATACAAACGCCTGTCTTAATCTGTGTAATATTTGTATTTGCGACTGAGAACTAGGTCACACGTCGTGCTAAGCTACAGCACACCTGCGTTAAACCGGCGACCTGTACAGTCACAAAACAACAAATGCACACCGGTGTAAAGTAATCGAGGGTCTAGTCCTTATACTCGCACAGGGTTAGGATAGGGTCAACGTCCTAAGTGTTACGTAAGAGCCGAAGAGTTGGTCTAGACCATGGACATAATGTCCATGTCTGAACAAAGCACTGAGTACCGCGGCCTACACCACAGGGAACGCTAGCGTATTTACCACCGCTCCCTAACGTGAATTGTATTCTCTGCCCTAAATTGTTATACATATACCAGGAGAACGCTGACTGTGAACTGCAAATATACACTACATATATAATGCATAATTCGAATGCACCAACGTGTGTTCTAAGACATGTGTAATATGTATGCATTGCAAAGGCAGACCGAATGAATCAATACTTGCATTAATGCATTTTATTGCAGTCTCTTCTCCTCTCTAACACAATCAGCTGTTGAAAAAAATTAATAGCCCATGAATCACCATGCACATTGAAATGAAAATTCTGAACCTACGTCTCTCTCTCTCTCTCTCTCTCTCTCTCTCTCTCTCTGTGTTTGTGTGTAGAAATTGCTTAAGGCAAAGAGGGTTTCATTTTTTTTTTTTTTTGGGGGGGGGGGGTTACAAAGGTTTTTAAAAAGCGCTTCGCTTCACGGTGTCCTTGCAAACACATAATTCAACTTTCATATGAAGTGTATTTAATTCTGATTTCTCATTACTGTCTCTGATAAGAAAAATACTATTGAAATGACTTCCTTTCATTGTACTTATATCCCGTTATTATCTTTTTATCTATTTAACATAAGCGTACACTGCTACACCAAATGGGAATCCAGTTCTATTCTCACGNACATGTAGATGAGCACAGCGTTAATGCACACCACCCAACATCAACTTACATGTAGAGGTGAAAGTTGTACGGGGATCCTCAAACACATTCATAAAACTATTGTTTACATTTAATCTATTTATTTATTTATTGCAATTATCATAATCAACATGATTACTAACATTATTAATATATATTGTTCTTCGGTTTCAGTTTCACCTATTCGTTTTGAACATCGAATTTCACAAAGAAAACCGAACGAGGAAGCTTTTATGCATTCATCGGATAAATAACACATGCATTGTGTAATGAATCACGCCTCGGTTAGTCAAATACAACGGTCACTTTATTTTGAAAACAAAGCGGCATACAGTGATCGGAATTCCCATCCTAGGATTTCATTTGAACATGCACTGAACTTCATGCTGCATGTTGACTTCCATGTTCATTTATTGCTACGATCGAGTCTCTGCCCATTTCATCGTTTTGTACACATGTCGACCTGTGTAACAGGCGCTACAACAACATTTAAATGGTGTACTATTTGATAAAACCATGGGCTGGGAATGATTGATTGTAGGGATGTGGGGGGAGGGGAATAGGCAGCTGATGAAAGCCTACACTGAATGAACATGCACGCTATTTGTGCATCGTTAATTTCCTGATGAACTGTGGGAAGGAAAAGCCTAACACTTTATAATGATCAAAACAATCATTATTAACCCCCCCCCCCCCTTCCCGGCACCTCCCCGCAACCTGATATCACTTTGTTACATCAAATCTTTTTCACAGAGAGCTCTCACACGATTGCCACAGCGGTCCTCGCAAGAGTACCACGATTTTGGATAATCCATTTTGGTGTAAAAAAACAGAAAATCCCTGCTCTGTTGCGTGTTCCAGAATGTAGGATCAACAACCCTCTGGCCTGTGCTATCCCAGACGTAAAAGCGGTTTGCCTTGTCGTAGCGTCCGCCCAGCCATGCAGCGTCACTGTTTCTATCTAAAAGTGGAAGAACAAGTAGATATTTTAATATTTTACCCAAAATCTGTGAAAAAGATACTACGGAAGAATGTGATACCATATACAGGTAGTGATGTTATACACGTGTGTAGATACTACGGAATAATGTGGTACCATATACAGGAAGTGATGTTATACACGTGTGTAGATACTACGGAATAATGTGATACCATATACAGGTAGTGATGTTATACACGTGTGTTTTGAAAGGCCAATGCAAAGTATAGTAATCGGATATACAAAAAAGTGTGTTTTGTGTAAGTGTGTAGGCCTACATATTTATGTAATATATATGCATATATATTGATTCCTTAAAGAGTCTTGCGTCTTTTAGATTAGGTGACCACTTCTCTGATGGTTCGTCAAAAGTGAACGAACTTACCTTTTTTCCTTTTTGCAAAATCTGAGACAAATATCTGCTCCGCCGTTGACCCTATTTCAGCCAAGAATGCCCCTTTGCTCTTGCAGAAAGCTTTTGCCTCTGTCCACGTCACTGGAGCTGTTCCGTTCATCAGGTAACAGCTCTGTTGGAACTGTTCGAAGCCAGACGGACATGTGGGACCTAGATAAGTCACGATTAAACTATCAATTAAGGGTCCACGAGTAAGATTCAATTGACTGTACCAGGTCCGAAGGAAGGCAATTTTATGTGTATGTGTGTTTTGGGTTACCGTTTGAAAAATAGTGATTGTAAAAATGGGATGGTAAAAAGTGTTTGAAGTTGGCCATCGGGTGACTGGGGTTTCTGCCTGTGACGTTATGTTAGGATAACTTATTCAAGTATATATATTCGGTTAAAAAGTGGACCTGTCCTTTGGCTCCCATTCTAACTGCCCTTAAGTCTGACCTGAATAAAAAGATTTAAAAATAAAAATTTTGCGTTTGATGCTACAGTTGCACTTTCGCAACTGACTTTTTAGATACAGATGCGTTTCATAAACTGCATGTTTTTTAAACATACACATTTTTTTAAACATACTAATTTTAAGCGCCACTTACTGGCCGTGGTTGTCAACTTAGTGGTGGCTGTCGTAGTGCTGGTAGTAGAAGTGGTGGTGGTTACAGTCTGTGGGGATGTTACACTTGCCCGCTTTTCCGACGTCAGCGTTCTTTGAGTGGACATCTTCAAAGCCAGAGCCTGCATACATCTCAAATATTCTGCCTTCAGAAACTTCAACGTACTCTCCGCAAGTATGATTTCAAAGTCCAATCCCAAACTCCGCCCAAGAATCGGACTCTTTCCGAGCTGGGAGGCGTAAACATCGTGGCAGCCATCTTTCTCCAGCATACGATGGATTTCTAGGATTTGATATTGCAAAGTACGGAGAAGGATGCGTTGGCCATTTTCGCTCGTTTGCTGCGCTCGGACGACGAGCAGGAGGACGCTGAGGATCAAGACAGTTCTCATAGCGGAAAGGCAAATGATGGCAGCGCATGCTAAGGCTATATTTATTGTCACATTTGAGGATAGCAAGGTGTTAAATTTCTGGGTATGCCCCCCCCCCCCGTAAAATAATTAATTTACACGTACAGGTATCTTGAATGCTAAATAACAACTTGTTACAGATTGAGAAAATCCTATGCTTGATAAAAATTGTTCAGAAGTTTTTTTAAAATTATATCTGTATTTTACTTTCTTCATTAAATCTCGCGGAAATCTTTTAAAACGTAACGTTTGAAAGAGTGTCGGGATTTCCTTTTAGAGCCACATGCATATTGAATTGCGACTCCCTGCATATGTTATTTTCACAGCTAGATAACCCCTAAAGCGTGTCATCAACTGTGTGCTCAGGTGAAACGATTGACACGTCTTTATCTCACCTGACCGCCATTATGTCAAAATGCTAACTTATGTCGTTCATCCTGGGAGCATATTTTTACTGTTGAAATAATAATTGAAGAAGACGATTATGTACAATAATAGTTTGTCATTTCTTGAACTTCAGAATCTTTTCATTGGCCATACCTTATTTAAGTACTGGTACTATGGATTCAACAAGAAATCGGATTTTATTTGAAACATGTACTTTATCATGAAAAATATCCAAAGCCTGAGAGGTCAACAAGATATAGTTTATTTTTTGAAATACTGTTTAAGAAAATAATATCAACGAAAATCAAACATTTAATAGACTTTGCCTATTTTACAGATACGAATATTACGTAATTTTCAACCCATTCATTATACCTCCAGTTGGATCCCCCTATCGGCGCTGTAATATCTATTGTTGAAATTCTAGACGAGGGGTTCCAAAGTCAACAGCATTAAAGTCTAGTCAGATGTTACCAATAACAGGTGTACGCCTATCCTTGGCGACCGATCGATTTCGTATGTAAAACGAAGCCAATTATTTTCAGCATGCATATATTGCGCCTGCCTTAAGATAAACAAGTGGCACTGATTTTTTCACAGGTAGGTAGATCACTTTGATGTTGCTCTTTGAAGGCTGATGGGACTTGTTACTTCTTGAACAAGTCCGTGGAATGCATTACAGGGGCTTTGGGGGATTGGTTTGCAGGACAGGGCAACTAAAAAAAAAAAACAGCCGAAAAAATTCTGTCGCAGTAGAATTTAACTTGAATTTAGAGTGCAATATATTTTCAAGTTCGTCGATTTTTTTGCCACTAGCACCTTTCAGGTAATTGTAGTATTACGGTGTAACTCGAACGCTTACACAGCGTTTGACACAAAGTACTTACGGAATTTGTATCTACAGAACCGATTTAAGAATTTTAAAATAAGTTTACAATAAGCTACCATAATTTCAAACTGGGATACGGGTGAGTATGCTTTAGCGATACCAAATGCAATTGCGCTATATCATGCGCCTCTTTTTACATATTCGTCGGCAGGACATCGCTTTTTGTTTCCTATTGAGATCCACGTCATTAATTTGTTAATGCTGTATCATGTTTTGTAATAGCCCGGCATAACATGTCGGTTAAAACTGTATGTTCGTGCACTGTCAGGTCTTTACTTTATCAACAGAGCGAGTAATTTATTTTTTGTTGTCAGATACTTACTTTCTCCTTTTGACAATGCGTTACCTACAAACCTTTAGTTAAAGATAATTTGTACTCAGTTTAATTATCATATCAAAATAGCGAATAGAAATAAGCAGCGGCTGTTGCTTTAGAGCGGGACACCAGCCACTCTAGAGAAACTATATATATATATATATATATATATATATATATATATATATGGGAACTCGTCACATCCACTGTCTAACATTCATATTTCAGATGGCTCCATTGGTGTTCACATTGGCAACACTGCTGACTTGTATGCAAGTACAATGTTAGTAAATACCGCTCGTTTGTTTTTGTTAAGTACCTTTTTAATCTTTTATAATCAGTTATTTGTTTGTTAAATTATTTGTGTATTAATTTATTTCTTTGCAAACTGGGGATTAAGTTTTTTTTTACGAGAGATATCTCTGTAAAGAAGGTGCCAAAAGTTGAGAGAAGACTTTATTTGGACGCCGGTATTTTTATAATAAAATCTAGTCCAACCATTATCCAAGCTTTACCCAATGACATTTTCCCAATTAAGAGAAAATATACTAAAAGCACAGTCTTTATCCTTTCTACAGCAGCTGAAGGTGGCGTCGCCTATTGTCCTACCTTTGAGAAAACATACGGCATGTGCATATCTCCGGCCAACACAGCCGTAGACTATGAGACGGCCAAGGCCAGCTGCAAGGACTTTTGCGGTACACTGATGAACACAAAGACGTCCTCCAGCCATTTCACGTTGATGTTTTATCTCCTGTAAGTAAATAAGCGGAAGCATTTTATGATAAATGTACATGACGCTGGGCCAGGGATTGGTTAACATGGTACATTCGGTAGCTCAAAAAAAAAAAAAAAAAAATGCTTCTTTTTTCTAAGTTCAATAACTTCAACAGTGTTGATCATATTGCAATTGCATGTATGATAATTTAGGAGTATTACGTTTTCATTAAATGCTGATAATCTCATGGCTCTACCTTTTTATTTAAATTTTGGCACAGCGTAAAAATTAAATCTTAAGTAAAAAATACCATGCCAGTGTGACGTACGTGTTAGAGAGTCCTGCGTGATAGAGAGCCTGTTCCCATTATCAGGTAACAGGTAAACCTCACCCTAGATTTTGACTTGCTCACGTTAGGCCAACCCTAATCTGAACTCCCTGTTACTGGCCTGTGTGACATCCGACAGGTGCCAGTGTCTGGCAGTATTAACATCCACCTGTCAGTGATATAATGATAATATCAAAACTGTTTCACTTTTATACTTAAAATGTTCAGGGTGGACCAATAATAATAATAATAATAATAATAATAATAATAATAATAATGTTTTAAAAATCTGAGCAAAATTCAATTCAAACCCTTGTGAACTGTTGAAGTAATTGAACATTGAAGTTCGTCATCACAGTGGATGACATGGTATATGATTGCAAATAATTTTTTTCTATAGCTACAATATTATTATTGAGGTGCACTGTTTTTCTCTCTTTATCCACTGTGTGAAAATAGTATAAAAATTAGATCTATGCGCTCTAATGAAGGGTAAAAAGGCGTGTCTCATAGGTAGAAAGCGTTATAAGTCTCTTAAGAAACAATTTGATCTTTTATAGCGTTATTATTTATTTATTTATTTATTTATTTATTTATTTATTTATATTAATATTAATATTATTATTAAAGCCAACATTTAGTCCATTTAAACATCCCCTCTGTTTTGTGGATCTGGCATTGGTCAATCCGTGTGATTAGATTGGTCAAGGCCTAGAAGAGTTCTTTTAAGAAACCCGGCTGCTCGTAAACGTATGAACTATAAGATCTGGCCCAGACCCGACTGTATAGTCTATGTGAACACACTTCTTTACTGTAAAGTAGCTTATTGAAATAAACTAAAGGAGCTAGAACCCACCAATTTTAACTGAGACACGCCTAATAAACTCCTCTAGAATGCCTTTTGAAAATGCAGACACTTATAAAGCAGTCAGAAAAAACACTGATATATTATTAATGATTGGTGATGTTCAGTGTGAACAGATACAATAACAGTGAAAATCAACGAGTGTTTTGTGTGTTAAGAAAAATAAGTGAAAACATGGTGAGTACTTAAATAGGTCTTTTTTCTTATCATGCTTGTTGCGCAACAAGCATAGTTGATAAATCTTCCACATACTAAGGAAAAAAAGCCATCAGAATAATGACCCTACACAGGGGCGGATCAAGGATTAGTTGAAAGGGGGGGGGGAGGGTCCTTGAATGCGAAGCCGATCCCCCCCCTTAATTAACATTTTTAATCATTTTGTCTCGTATGATAAAGTTCAATTGGCCTTTTGTTATTAGACTTTATTTTAAGACATATTTATGTCTCTCAAGTATAACCACTTATTATTTTCTATCTTAGGAAGCCTTGTAAAGTCTAATAACATTTCAGAAAATTTAGACTCTAAATAAATGCATCATAAGTAATTACTATTTGTAACTGACAAAGTGGAGTGGAAACAGAACATAAGCTCAATAGAAAATCAATAAGTCTCTTGTGAGTGGAAAGGATCCACAGCGATGCGGAGAAGTTTTTTTCATCGCTTACAAATTTAAATAATGCCCTGGGAGAAACAGAGAGAGTTGACATGTCCACTTACACAGGGATCAAACGAAAGCAGAAACAATGATTTAGTTCTAGGGACAATGTTGAATAATGAGGAAGCACCATCAATAAAAATGTATGGCAATTATTTTACGTATAAAAGTATAAAAGTCAGTGCAACGAAGTGGACACGTTTGGCACCTAGACAAGTGAGCAATTGTTTTCTTCACTTTTTCTTTCATTTTTGCATATATTATTATTATTATTATTATTATTATTATTATTATTATCTTTATTGTGTTCTATATGGTGTCTTTCTTTGGTGACATCAATAGTACATGCACATACATTGAAACAATCAATGACAGTGTTGAGATATTTTCATAGAATACACATATGTTGTTAGGTAAACACATATAGATAATTGAAACAATAAAAAGTCCTTAATATTTAATATGCCGTATTTGTTTAATGTTCAGATCAATCTTATAGAAAAAGAGCGCTGTAGGTGACAAACTATGATTTTCACTTGGGAAAAAATGGGTGATAAAAATGAAACAAAAGGAAACCTATGTATATTTTATATGTTAACTACAGAATAACGAGACACGTAAACACGTAGCCATTAATTGCTAATACCCCATGACGAAGATATACTCCATTACGCATGTAAACTCCACAGGAACCAATGTATAATAAAAAGGCCGTTAAACAATTCTATTGGAATTTTGTAACTGGCATGTTTATTCAGTTGTCTGAGTAGGATCCCTTTTTTGTGAATCCTAACACAGAGCATTAAAATGCAAACAAAAT